GCCAGCCACCTAGAAACCTAAAAGTATGGCCTCTAGGGGAGTGGGGGCTGGGAAGCAAATGCCTTTGCCTCAGTGGCATGGTGGTGCCCTTGGCTGGCGGGGGAGGTGGATTTATGATGTAACTATTTCTAATGGGAAACCTGAACTGCTGGCAAACACGGCCCGTGGCCTGGGACACGGGAAAGCAGGCGGCAGCTGTTGGGAGGAGCGCTGGTGTGTGCTGGGCAGAAGGAAGGAGGACGATGTTCCCTGAAGAGGAGCTCTGACCTGGTGCCACAGAGCAGAGCCGCAGAACCCAGCGAGACGCAGGCTCAAAACCGCAAGGCTAGGGGTCGTGAAGGGAGATGGTGGACAGGGTTTCTGTACCAGGGACAGAAGGAGGGAGCTGCCCCCAGAAGCAGTCCTGCTCCTGGCCTCTGCCCCGGCCTGGCTGAGCCCTGGTTTGGGATGAGAAGGCACCGACAGTCAGGTGCCCAGGCAGGGCAGCCTGTGGGGACTCCGTCCGGGGGAGGGGGGTGACGGCACTTTGCTCAGGGCACTCACGTGGCTCTGGCTCACAAACAGATGCTTGGGGGCAGCCTGTGCTCCTGTGCTGTGCAGGTACTGGCTCCAGCTGAACTCCTCCTCCTTGTAACCTGGGCCCCTCGGGGGGAGGGGGACAAACAGAGTGCTGTGCAGACAGAGGTGGGCTGCGGCGAGGGTACCCCACATGAAAGCAGCCACATCAGGCAGGTCTGAGGACCCCACAGCCCCTCAAGCACCTGCCCAGAGTGCCCCTGCAGAGCAGGGCAGGACCTGGGGCAGACACTCAACAGGCAAGGCCAAAGCAGAAGTCCTGGGACTTCTGGTCCACCTGGTCTTGGGGCAGAGTCCTGGCCGGACACAATGACAACCAGGCTGGCTTGGGACAGGGCCCACAGGGCTCTGAAAGCACAAAGCTGGAAGGAAGGGGGTTGATGGGTGGAATCTGGGGACTCACTGCCTTACTTTAGGGGGTGAGGCCTTACCTTTGGGGGGCTGCAGCTTGTGCCCAGTCTTCTCAAACCAGCCAGCAGGGTGAATGTCAGGGGAGTTGGCATTGATCCAGAAGTCGTGGCACTCCGAATACCCGTCAAAATGCAGCCGGAGGCGGTAGCCACACACCTGGCCCCATGGGGGATATCACAGAGACTCCAGTGCCAGCCGATGCCTCCTTTCTCCCTCCCCTCCCCTGGCCAGGCCCAGCCGGGGGACCTGGGAACCTCTAAAGCTAGCAGGCTCCCCAGGCTCCGTCTTTCGCCACCCTTGTCCCATTCTCTCCCATGCACCAATGAAGACAGCGCCCACCAGTTCCTGCCCTCGGAGCTCTGGGTGCCAGCCTCTTGTGAAACCCGGGACACCTGCCAAGTCTCAGGCCCTCGCAGGCCTCCTCTGATGCCCCTTCCTTCGGTATCTCTCGCTGCTCTCCACACACCTGACACTTTTGCCTCGGTAGCTGAACTAATGGCTGCTCCTTGGCCCTGGCGGCCTGTCCCAAGGCCCAGAGCCCACCTGTGCTGGTACTGCTACTGCTGCCACCGCCGTCCCACCCACTGCCTGGGGAACACTGCTCCTCGGCTCCCTCCCAACCCTTCTGGGCCCCTTGGCAGAACTAACCACTCTCCGCTGTGCCTCTTGACCCATACATGTCACCAACCTTGTACTCCATCACCATTATGATGACCTGGAGTATTCCTTGTGTTAACTCCCAGAACAGTGGTTCTCAACCTGTGGGCCGCGACCCCCTTGGGGGTCGAAGGACCCTTTCACAGGGGTCGCCTGATTCATAACAGTAGCAAAATGACAGTGATGAAGTAGCAAGGAAAATAATTTTATGGTTGGAGGGGTCACCACCACATGAGGAAGTGTATGAAAGTGTGGCATGACTAAGGTTGAGAACCACTGTCCTAGAAGGTCCCAACCCTTGTCTTGGGGTGGTTCCTCGCCAGGTGGCCCCCTCCAGTAGTCTCATCCTATCATGACCCTGTACACACCATGTGTTCTTAGTTTATTTCTCAGGCTTCTGAAGCCCCGACAAGACCACGCTTTCCAAGGTCAGGGCCATGTCTTCCTTCTCCAAGCCCACATTCTCCAGGGGCCTCCCCGGGCAGACTCAGCGATCGACCAAGTACAGTGTAATCGGAGGCTGAAAGACTACTGTGGTGGTACCAACCCTGGGCTCACCTCGGCCACAGTGAGGATGAAGTACATGGATGGGTGCTGGGGGTCAATGCCTTCCAACTTCATGCCCAGCTTGAAGCCATTCTTGTGATGGGTGACCGCCTGGTACTGTCAACCAACGCACAGATTGGAGAGGACCCCGTTTCCCTCCAGGGTGATCTGTGACCAGTGGGCTTGGGGTGGAGGAGCTGCCTTTAGCCCCCACCCACCTGGTACTGCCCAGAGTCTGCTTCTGACACAGGAAGGGACAGGACAACTCCCAGACCCCTTGGAAAACATGGGCTGCGTCAGGGGCAGACCGAAGGACTTCCTCCTTCCAAAGGAAGGGAAAGATAGTGTGCAGAGTTGAGTAGAAGGAACCAGAATTAGAACACTGGGGAGATGAGTGAGCATGGGGTCCACCTCTGTACTTCTTCCCACCCGAGCAGCCCCTGACAGTGTGTACTCCTCAACTCTGGGCCCTTCGGCAAGCTGCCCCTTCCATGCTGCCAGATCACGGGAATTTGGTGCCGAGTCCCTGGGCTGGGGAGACACGCTCTTCCTAGGTGGAAAGTGTCCAACTCACGTCCCGGAAGAGGCTGAGAGGGGCAGTTATGGCCTTCTGCTCTTCCAGGTAGCACTCCCACGACCAGCCTTCCTTCTTCCCACCTAATGAGGCAGAGAGGAGACCTGCGCTCGACTCCGGGGCAATGATTCTCCCCAGATAAGCTCTGTCTTCACTGCAAAATAAGTCTGTTTGTAGCCACCTGGTAGCCCCTGGCTCCACCCAGCCATGAGGATGCCAGATACCAGGGGTTCAGACCTGAAACTATCTCAAACTGCTAGCAATCCCCACCCCCACCCCCCAGGGCACTATCAGCACAGGTACTTTGGGTTATACAGCAACTAAGAGCTGCTCAGTATGATCAGCGGCTAGTTTCAGCCCCGGGGTGGGGGACAGTCCTGTTCTGTGTCCTCAGCCATGTAACATGGTACTTGAGGACTTCGTCATAGTGCCACTGTTATGGGCGAATGACACCCTCTTAAAGTATATGCTGAAGCCCTGGCGGTGATGTGGTGACGTGGTGGGCTGCTAATTGCAAGCTCAGCAGTTTGAAACCACCAGCAGCCACTGGAGAAAGACAAGGTTTTCTACTCCCATAAAGCGTTGTGGTCTTGGGAACCCAAAGGGCAGTTCTATCCTTTTCTATAGGGGCCCTATGAGTTGGAATCTCCCCGATGACAGCGAAGCTTTGTTATATATATATATTCACACATATGCATGCCTACATAGATATCTATATCTCCTGTAACTCCTAACCATAAAACCTATAATCCCACTTGGGAAGAAGCTGTCTTTGTTATGTTAATGAGGCAGGATTTGTGTAGGGTGTGTTTTAAGTCCATCTCTTTTGAGAGCTCAGCGATTAAACAAGGAAGCTAGAGAAGCTGAACGGTGGACAGAGAGATGTCAAGTTGAAAGGAAATCACCTGGGAGCAGCATCCCAAAGAGACAAGGCCCTTCCTCCAGACAGAGACACACAGAGAGAGAGAGAGAAAGAGAGAAAGCGTCTCTCTAGAGTCGGTGCCCTGAATGCAGGCTTTTAGCCTCCTAAATGGTGAAGAGATTAATTTCTCTTTGTTAAAGCCACCCTTGTGTGGAATTTCCATTAACAGCGGGCTGGACCACAGACAGTCATCTCCGCTCCCAGAGAAAGAGCAGGTTCAAAAACAAAAGGTAAGCGGGGACAACAAACACTGTTTGATTCATCTTCCCATGAACATGTCTCTGCCCATGGAGACACTAGCGTGCACACGTGTGCTTGGTGTGCCCAGAGTTCACGGGTTGGGTCCACAGCCCCCTTGGGCATTCGCACTGTGTGCTCACAAGCACCCAGCCTCTGTGTTACACGGTCATCAACGCCCTGCAGCCCAGGTCCTGCCCAGAGCTCAGAGTCTGTTTCCCTGGAGGGTGTCGCCAACTTCAGTTGAAGGCCTGCCAACTTCAGTTGAAGGCCACAGGCGACAGGAGCTACTGCACAAGAATGATCCCTGGCTCTCTGTCCTTGGAAAAATGCAAGGGATCTCATCGACCACGCAGGTTCATCCTTCATATGACCTTCCTACTTTCTTCAGATCACTGCCCACTGAGCTTACCGCCCGTTTCAAGAACCATACCCTCCGTGGGGATGCCTTTCTTCTCTCTGCCTCGCTTTCCCCAGATGCTCGCATGAACTCAGGGCTAGTTCCTTGTCAGGTGACTCACCTCAGGTACATCTCAGGCTGTTTCTGGGTCTTCAACGTGAAGTTTACCTCCCAACTGGCCAAGCTCTAAGCTCCCCATGCCACGGCAGAAAATAGCATGGATCAATATCCTTCTCGTCTTCCCCTACCCTTATCCCCACGTCCCTCCCTGGACCTTTAATAACTTTGCCATGCTCACTAACTAATAGTCTTGGAATTTACCAGCATGCACTGCTTCCTTTTAGCTAAACCAAACTGCTGACTGGTTTTGTTGGTACCGCTTGTGTGTGCTATGCCTGCTGCCACGGGGCACACAGAGATGCCTCAGAGCCTGCACACACCTTGTCTTTCATCTTCAAAAGGCCTGGTATATTTGTGACCTCTTTCACAATCCGAAAGCAGATGAGATGTCAACTAGACAGAGGCCTAGCAGCTCTGGTTGGCGGAGTGGTTCCACATGGGGTTGTGATCTGTAAGGTCAGCAGTTCAAAACCAACAACCGTTCCTTGAGAGAAGGATGGGGCTTTCTACTCTCATGAAGGGTGGCAGCCTCGGAAACTCACCGGGGCAGCTCCACCCTGCCTTGTGGGGTCACTGTGAGTCAGTATCAACTCCAGGGCAGTGAGAGAGACCCAACACTATACCATTTTGCAATTGGATTACCTCTGTGCAAGCCCCCAGCCGCTTCCTGTTCCCTGCAGCTTCTTCCCTGGTGGAACAACTCTAATCCCAGATAAGGACAGGGCTTTTGCCAATGGCTGTGTAATTGGATACGGCTGTATTGTTTGTGCACTGTTCATAGATGCCCAGCCAAGGGCTTGGGGGGGGCGGGTCCTGAAACCCTGCCCAGGCTCCCTGCCAAGTGATGGGCTGAGTGTATAGGAAGAAAGGTGACCCTTTCCTGCTTGGGCTTCTCAACAGAGGGACCTTGTAATAAATTAGACAAGGGCACCGGAGCAACTAGCCATGGCACGGATCCTCCCTGGATGTCT